GGTAGTATAGGAATTAAGGGTTAGTGTTGGGGGAAGTGCAGGAGTTAAGGGTTAGTGTTGGGGGTAGTATAGGAATTAAGGGTTCATGTTATGGGTAGTGCAGGAGTTAGGGGTTAGTGTTAGGGGTAGTATAGGAATTAAGGGTTAGTGTTAGGGATAGTGCAGGAGTTAGGGGTTAGTGTCAGGGGTAGTGCAGGAGTTAAGGGTTAGTGCAGGAGTTAAGGGTTAGTGTTAGGGGTATATAGGAATTAAGGGTTAGTGTTAGGGATAGTGCAGGAGTTAGGGGTTAGTGTTAGGGGTAGTGCAGGAGTTAAGGGTTAGTGTTAGGGGTAGTATAGGAATTAAGGGTTAGTGTTAGGGATAGTGCAGGAGTTAAGGGTTAGTGTTAGGGATAGTGCAGGAGTTAAGGGTTAGTGTTAGGTGTAGTATAGGAATTAAGGGTTAGTGTTAGGGATAGTGCAGGAGTTAAGGGTTAGTGTTAGGGATAGTGCAGGAGTTAAGGGTTAGTGTTAGGTGTAGTATAGGAATTAAGGGTTAGTGTTGGGGATAGTGCAGGAGTTAAGGGTTAGTGTTAGGGGTAGTATAGGAATTAAGGGTTAGTGTTAGGGGTAGTGTAAGAGTTAAGGGTTAGTGTTAGGGGTAGTGCAGGAGTTAAGGGTTAGTGTTGGGGGTAGTGCAGGAGTTAAGGGTTAGTGTTGGGGGTAGTGCAGGAGTTAAGGGTTAGTGTTAGGGGTAGTATAGGAATTAAGGGTTAGTGTTAGGGGTAGTGCAAGAGTTAAGGGTTAGTGTTAGGGGTAGTGCAGGAGTTAAGGGTTAGTGTTGGGGGTAGTGCAGGAGTTAAGGGTTAGTGTTAGGGGTAGTGCAGGAGTTAAGGGTTAGTGTTAGGGGTAGTATAGGAATTAAGGGTTAGTGTTAGGGGTAGTGCAGGAGTTAAGGGTTAGTGTTAGGGGTAATGCAGGGGTTAAGGGAAAGTGTTAGGGGTAGTGTTGGGGTATATAATATTAAATGGAGGTGTTAAAGAAGCACCGAGCCATACATGGCTCAGTAATGGCTGTGATTAGTGGGAGTTACAGTTTCAGCTGCTGTTGTTAATTCAGCTTGGGAATGAGCTACAGGGTAACTCCACATGTGCAGACAGGAACTCTTTGGGCCTCTAAACTACACGCAGGTGACCGCTTCTTTATTCCTTGTTCAATGTGGGAACTTGCATGAATTCTCTGCCTATTAAAGGATTGTAAATAGAAACAAACCCAGGCCCACTGTAATGATACAATGTGCTGTAGTTGTTATGGTGATTACAGTGCTCCATTTAAGTTGTTTTACACATGAGCAATTTCAGAGGCTGGTATTTCTGATCACGGACACACTGCAGGGTACATCAGGGTATTCCTGTATGACATCTATCAGGGACATTATACCAAATCTAGTTCCAATATCACAGACGAAATACGTGGCATGAGTATGAGATGTGTTAAATCAGCTCATCTGAATTGCTCTACGCAAACTGTGACTTCATTTAAAACAATATTCTCAACAGATCAATATTGTCTACTAGCCAAGCTTGACTAAGTTTAGCTGTAAATTACCATTTGAAGATCTGACAGTGTTTCAGTGTGGAGGCGGCCATCATGAGATTGTTTCTCAGTTTTTAAAAGAACTACCGCCAATGTAAATGAACCAGTGCCTGCGGGGCGTTCGGGCCTTTCGGGTAGAGCTTACACTTAGAACAACCAGATAGGCAGGCAGCGCAACTGGGCCCCTTTAATAGCTGCAGACAGTGCTCGGAGGAAGTGATTACCTTTTCCTTCCTCGTAGCTTATAGACTGCACGGGCTGGGAGGACGGAGGAGACACCTCCGATAGACAACCCTTAATAGCATTTTCCCATGTTGCCCCTGCTTACTGCTGCAATTTTGGTTACAAATATATATTTTTTTTTATTTCTCTATGCTATACCACCTCTTTTCAAATTCATAGGATAAACAATAGGATCTGCAGCCAACATGAACTTATGTGTTCCCTCTGAACAGGATCTCAGAGAGAGCTTGTTATTTGGCTCTGTATCATGTGAGTGATTTTTAGACTTGTGGATTTGTTTCCGGCTGGATTGCTATTGGTCCACATGGAGTCCAATTGGCAGTTCATCTGAATTCCATAACTTCAAAGAACCATATGAACGTATAACTGAAGAAATTACTTGTGCAATGGAAGAGCATGTTTATTTTATTTACGTTTCAGAGGTCCATCCATGGCGCCAAAAAAGGATGGTTGATGGAAAAAACAAAAACAAAGCAAAAACCAATGGTTTATGGTTAGGGGACAGTTATTAAAAGTTGATTTTATTCACAGATCAAGTGAGAAGTGACCAATGGAGAAAAAAAGGGGGGTCTATATATATATACACACACACACACATTTAATCAATACATAAATGTATAAATATAGATTGTTTTATTTTACCCCTCTCGCTCTTTTTCCCTCTGTTGGTCACTTTTTCTCATTTGATCTGTTAACCCAATGGCTGAAAAATGCTCCTATCAGTTACTATAAA